TGTGACAGCCGCTTTCTGTCCGTGTGCTTCGGATGTGTGCACTCAGAAAACCGTATATCAAAAGTTTAAACTCATATGGTTTAAAACGCATGATTTCAGCGTGATAAACATGATAATCAGAACCAAAACAGCTGTTTTTAGCAGGTATGAGCTGTAATGGCGCAGCTCAAAAGCTGGGAAAAGTGGGCGGGGAGCAGCTGCTCGTTTGCATTTAAAGAGACAGGCACGAAAAACAGCGTGTTTCTGCTTCCACTTAAAATGGGCATTTTCAAAATGATATAATAAATGATCTGTGGGGTATTTTGAGCTGCAACTTCACAGACACATTCTGGGGACACCTGAGACTTATATTACATATTGTAAAAAAGGGCATAATATGTCTCCTTTAAAGTAGTACATTTGTTGTGTTTTTGTCTTTTTTTTTGTATATTTCTATTATACAAGTTCTATTTTATCGTTTTTATGATGTTTTATTCAGCTGAAATTTTTTTAGGGCTGAAGATTGACAAATATATACAGTATATAGTGTCCAGATGACTTTGAGACGCTGTGAGCTGGATTTCCTGGAACTTTATATTTGGAATTACATTTAAGTGAAAATAAAGTAAACTCACAGTACTGTGTGTTTACAAAGTGAACTGTGCTGGCACTGTGGACATCTGTGTTCATTTAGAGTGCTCTCACACACTAGTGTTGAGCAATAAGCAAATAGGATGCACCAGTTATGACAAAGCAAGCAGCATGAATCTGGCAATGATGAAAATATGCACACTTTCATTTCTCACCCACATCATCTCAGCTGTCATTCGCTCCACTCACATACAGACAGTAAAGACTGCTGAAGCTGCACTTACTGTGAGTCATGTACATAATATAAACACTGACCCACTGACAAATCAAGTCTGAAAGACTAGCTCCTACTGGAACACATTCCTAAAAGTATGTTATGCTCTCAATTTGATTGATCAGTCCAGGCGTGCAGCTAGAGATATACTGCATCACTTGAGCTTTACTGCTAATAGTCTGACTGCTAAGTGCTAACTGTGCTAACTGCTAACATAGTGTCCAGCTGGCTGCTTCTCATCGCCGTCCAATCAACCCAGTCATTGCTATTTTTAGCTGTGTGTTTCGAAACGCAATGCACCATCTAGAACCGTCCACGCTGTGAACAAATGAATCTTAACCAAATCCCACAATGTCCAAGTTGAGAAATGCAAGAATTTACCATTTCAGAAAGATCTGTTATCTTAAAATCACCCAAAAGCTTGACATTGGGAATAATAATAATAATAATAATATAAAAATAAAACTCAACTTACTTTTCTTTCTTTGATTTGACTTCTACCTTTTGCCTAAAAAAGACAGATGCAACAGAGGTTTAATTCACTTTTCGTGATTTAAAGGGAACAGTTCACTCAAAATAAATATTCTGTCACTATTTACTTACTAAATTCTTAAAATAACAGTTCCAAAAGGGGATGTTCACAGTGATGCCATAGAAGAACCATTTTTTGGTTCCTTCAAAGAACCTTTCAGTGAACAGTTCTTAAAAGAACCATTTTTTTTTTCTAAGTCTAAAGAACAATTTAATAATCCAAAGAAACTTTTTCCACTATAAAGAAACTTTTGTCCAATGAAAAGATGTCATGGATGTTAAAGGCTCTTCATGAAACCATAGATGCCAATAAATATCTTTATGTGTATTGAATTATTGAAGATTTTGTGCTCAGAACATAACAGAACATATAACAGCATAGTGAGCAATAAGTGAGTAAACTTTGAGACAGTTTACATCTTGGAATTAACTATTTCCTGAAGATGCATTTAATCTCTTAAATGCAAAGTTTTAGAGACGTACCTGCATTCACACTTGGTGTGTTCAGTGAAACTCAGTTGAAAATTATGCTGCGATACACGTTGTTTGACTCGCAGTACCTACAGGAATATACAAAAAAATAAAAAATCACATTTAGTATGCAAGCATGCGTTCATGCACTATATGAGTGTACTTTGTCATTTTTATTTCATTTTACACACTGTTGAATAAATGACAAGACCAGGCCTCAACAGTGGCCAAGAGCAACTTCAGCCACATAAACGCGGTGTAAACACAGTGTGCAGCGATAAACAACATAGCTGACATGCCAGTTAACACCGCCTCGCTGTCCCAATGTTGGGCAAGCATGAAGTCATAGCAAGCAGGGTGAAGGACTGCACGTGCTGGATTGAACCAGTCTCACCTCCATGGTGACGTTGCGGGTCTCTGTAGGGACACACTCGAGCGCTTCGTCATTGCAGCAGCCTGCACAGCGCATGAGAACCACACAGGACGGGATGTAGGTGTGCTCGATCTCGTCAGGATACTCCTGAATGATGTCTACCAGCATCTCTCGCGTCTTACATGCACTCTTTTTGTACACATCCATGAAGGGAATCACTAAAGAGGAAGCAAAGTGAGAGTTCAGTCACTATCATACTACTAATGTCTTCTTTTCTTTCTTTCTTTCTTTTTTTTTGTTGTCAAATTAAAGGTACAGTTTACATGAAGTTCTCTCATTATTTACTTACCGTCATGTCGTTCCAAACCTGTATGCTCTTATTTTTTTCTGTGACACACAAAAAGAGAAGTTTTGAAGTATCTTCATGCAGCTCTTTTCCATGTAATGACAGTTCATAATGACCATGACTGAGTCTGTCTCTCATAAAAGCTATTTCAGAAGTCTTGACGCTTGTGAAAAAGAAGTGCACTTAATTGTATTGAATGTGCACTTGTAGTGTACAGATCTTAAAAGTTTTTTTTTTATGTACATTTAGACATAATATAATATTAATGCAACTAAAGGCGAATTTCATGACTGTTTCTTAACATTCTTAAGTACACTTTTAAAAAGTGCACATGTAATAGTGTCACATTAAAAGTTTAACTTTGAAGTATATTTTAAATCATTGTTTTATTAATCTTTTGTTGTGCTTTAAAGAAGTACACTTATTTTGATGTGTTAACTAGCATACTAAGCCACGTGTAAAATGCGTGATTATGCTTTTAACCTTAATATGTTATTCAGGATTACATTTAAAGTTACTATATTTTACTAAATTGCCATTTTATAGCCAGCAGTCATGGTAACTGTGAAAAGAGCGGCGTGAAGATTCTTCTCCTTTTGTGTTACATGGTCAAAATAACAGCATGCGTGTTTGGAATAAAATTAGAGTGAGTAAATCGTTTCCATTCTTTACAAAAACTAATATTTCCTGAGGAAGGCCCACTATTAATGTTACATCCATGACATAACACATCACACAGGCCTGTTCTGCTCACTGGGGACTTGACTTTCCCAAGTGGGCAAAAAAAGGCATGTCACACATGTTGAGGCACACACACCAGCACATGTGCCCCACTTGCACGCCCACCCTAGTCTGTACACCTCCCTAAACTGGCTTCCCATCATTCACTCTGACCCCAGTGCCTCATGACCCGCAGACTGCCAGGGAAAAGCGTGACCTCAGGCAGTGTGGCGCCAGGCTTCACTGCAGACACCTGACCTCCATGAGAAGCCCACCCTGCGTGACACTCCCTGCCACCCATGAATCTGTCAGGGCCCCAGAGCCATGCAAGAAAACCAAACACAACTGTATTCATGATGCTGATCATGATAAAGTCAGTAACTGCTAGTAATCAGTTGGTGGTACCAGCCACATTTCACCCACTGCCCTATCATGGCACTTCTTCGTTTATGGCCATGATGTTTGTATCTCATATCTTTATTTAGCAAAGTGCAAAGTCAAATATAAACGGACTGACTACTACTAACCAAGATTCAATATGTGCATTTAATGCAAAGCAAAACCGTCTAGCATAGGAGCTCTACATTGTGGGAAAGCATTTATGAATGGAAGCAGATTGGGAATGACGTAAAAATAACAATACACGTTCCCCCAGAAACGTAAAAGGGACTCTATACAAACAACCAGGTCCACTGCTAACAAATAATTGTGACCTTGAGGGCAAATCAGGAATAAATCATGCAATCTTTCTTAATAAACAAACACAGCCATGGTCAATGACTCCACACAAGGTTGCTTGCGGGTAGAATAAATTATTCACTTTGACGATCCTAATGAGGGTGGGAAATATACCCTGACTCCTAATCTTGAGTGTCCAAGCAAATATTTATGTAAGTGATATTAAACTGATTAAGGAGAGAGAGTGTTGCGTAACAAAAGAGAACAGCAAACATACAGTATTGGATGGGCTATTACCTGCCTCAGAACTGGGATAAAACCATTCGCAGTTTAATCTTTGACATATACATCCTCCAGGTGGTGCTGGACTCTTAGCGCCATTTCCAAAATATTTTTCATATCATACACACTTCAACATTTACGAACACTGCACATATAAAGAGGCTTACCCTCGTTTTTGCTCTTCATCCCTTCTTTGGGTATGTGGGCAGCCTGTCAGGACAGAAAAGTGACAATTGTAAGTCACAGAATACCTAAAACAAGTTAAATCTGACCTACTTTATACACCACTGAAAGAAACCAATAGTAATGCTTGGGAAACTCTGGAAAGGGAACATTTCGTTACGTTTTACACAACCAACGCACTTTATTTACTCGATACATGGCCAGAATCTAGAATTAGATGCTTAGTAAGGATTTTGGACTCTTATAAGGGTTTTTTTGACTCCCACTGGCCAAGAAAATATTTAGAGCAGCCAATATTTAGGCTAAAATATTTCCTCTGGTACTGCTGTAATGATGAAAAAGTTGCTTGTTTTCTAAGCTTCTAATTAACATAAACTTGCAGTCTCAATACACATCAGTTGATTTCATGATTCCATAAGTTTCGAGAACCATATGTCCTTCAGTCAAATCAACAGCTGTTGATGGTACAAATAAAAAAGCAAGAAATATGATGTCAATTTATTGGTATATATGGGTATTTGTACCTTATCTACCCCTATAGAGGACATATTATTACCTTAACTATGATCCAGTGTGGGTACAACTAAAGAAACCCTGTAATCGCAAATATACCCAAACTGTAACCTTTTCGAATTTGAACTAAATTAGATTAAGTTAGATTTATTTTAAATAATTTTAAGTCATCCAATGGTCCCCTTGGTGATTTGCTGAGGCCCTCTAATGGGCCCCAGACCCATAAAAACCAGAGTCTAGTAGCCTATGGGAGTTTGAATGCTTTCAGAAAGCAGTTTTAGATTCTTTTCATGGTATATCCTCTCATAATCTTCTTTTTTATTTATTTATGGAATTTCATCTTCTACATTCTTAGTAAGGGAGTTGATTTGTCATTTAAAGCGGCTGCGGAGAGCCAATGATGCTGCTGCTACAACTCAGACTATTCTTTTTTTCCCGCCTACAGATTAGTCTCGCCGGCGAGAGAGCGTGCTCCGTCGCGTTACTGCAGGTGGCGTGTCCTGGCGCAACAGCTCTCGGTGTTGCGTGAGAATCTCACCGGTTTGCCTCACAGACCATCTGCTTCATATCCAAGCAGACATTTTTCATATTCTGCACCCAACATTGGGACAATGACGACAAAGCAACCAACAAACAAACGACGGTAGTTTACCTCATACAAATATGTTTCACGACATCAAACATTGCCATGTCACGATTCAAGTAAATGAATTAATTAGGCGAGAGACAAAGAAATGAAGGCGTTCAGGTAATATCTTGTAATTATTCTCGTCAAGAGAGCAGATGGTTGCAGTATTTTAAGTCGAGAGCACTAATAAAATTCAGAAAGTCAATGTTGTGTTTGTATTCGTTGCATTTAGCCTCCCGTATAGGTATACTCCCGTTACAGCACGTAGTCTGTTTTATAATAATTTGCATTTATTAACAAAACCCATTGCCTAGTTTATGTTAAATCCCTGTACTTCTCAGAATATGAACTGGTCGGGCTACACAGTATTGATAGCCAAATATTCCTAACATAAGAGTAGCTGGTATTTTAAGCAGTAGCCTAACTTTTAAGCAGGAAATTCCACGTGAAGCGTCAGTTCAGGCAACCTAGTGTATAAATGGTGTAATGGCACTGGACATGTGCATTATATCCTCGTCAGTGTAATCTGACCTCCGTTCGTTTACACATTAATAAAAAATTAGAATTAAAAATTCAAACCCACCAAATTGCACAGCCCTTACCTTAACAGCAGACAGATGAAGGAGAGCCGCAAAAAATAATTGTATCGAATAAACAACAAAGTTCATGGTTGTAATTCCAGTGGTGTGTTGCGGCGAGCGTCACTGAACAGTCTCTGGCTCTCAGAACTATTAAAAGTGGAGTATGAATATGAATGAACCGTGTGATATCGTGGGTCAAAGTAACAATTCCATTCTGCCCTTCAGGACCGAAGCACCTGCGTCGAATCCACTCAGATGAACTTCTTGGACGTTAGCGCTCCTCCAGAAAATATAATATAATAGCAATAACAGCACAATAAAATAATAATAAAGAAAAGAAACCGGAGAAAATCCACACTTATATATTGGCTCTCCTTTTTCGCCTTTAAAATCCACAGTATAACGGAAAGTCGACGTTTAATATATCTAATTCCAAAACGGCACAGGCAAAACAAAATATATAAAAAAAGTTTCGTACACTTCCAAGCGCAACCTCTCTCTATAGGGGCCAGAGAACGGCTTCTGCGCATATGCTTATCATCACGCGCAAGACGCTACATGTGCCGGTAAAACAAAGTGATCCAATGGCAATCCCTGGTTAAACTGCAGCAGACGTTTCCTTCTCTCCTCGTCTTATTTCCGCTATTGCTTTGGTTTCTGGTGTCTCATAACGTTGTGGATGTTATCTGGCGGTATTGGAAGGTCTTGTCACTTTGCGCTCGCTCTGTCTTTCAGCGCTTCTAATGCTCAACGCTGCAGATCTTGAGCGTGTCGGCACACAGGCGCTGATTGGCCAGCAGGAGTCTTACGTTGATTATGATGCTCCAATGCGAAGGGCTCGACTCACTACTTCAGAAGGTGGGAAATTATGCATAATTCCCATTGCGTGTGTGTTATTCAGATAGTACAAAAATAGGTATAGGTTTACGAAAGCATTTGAACTGTATTAAATCCGTAGCCTATACTAGGTCCAGTAGGCTATTTTCTCATAGCCTACATCTTCCAATTCGTTTTGTACAGGTGTGACCAGTTTGTACTAAAAGGAAGGATGTGACTCTTAATGATTGTTGATTCATGTTGATTCACTCTTTCTGTAGCAACTTCATATGGAAATTCATATGTAATTACTTTACAATAAGGTCTCATTTGTTAACATTAATTAGCAATGCACAATACATTTAGGCTATTACAGTATTTAATAATCTGTGGTAATGTTAGTTGATTGATAGTTCATGTTAGCTCAGGTCCATTAAATAATATCAACAGACACGGCATTTGATTTCAGTAATTTATTAATAAAGCTTGAAATTGACAATAACCAAGATTGTTAGAAATATGTTAACTGTTAGTTCATGTTTATTAATGTTAAAAAATTAAATCGTATTGTAAAGTGTTATTAAGTATTTTAAGTGGCAATTATAACTCTTACAGTGAGATCAGGCTTTCAACCAGGCATCCATGAAAGTGCTGCAAGGTTTGAACAAAACATAAAAATAAAAAAAAACATAAATATTCCTTATGTTTCTATTATTGAGAAAATCTAGCATTTTACAGTATATTGAGGGTCCCTGAGTCTTGGGTGAGGGAGTACTGTAAAGGTTAATTGTGTTGAACTATGCTAAAACAAACTTCTTTGGTGCTTTTCAAGTGTTCAAATAAGTTGACAACATGTTTGTCTGTTGAAAGAAAAGTGTGCTGGGAAGAGAACAAAGCAAAGCAAGATTTATATTTGTTTCACAAAATAAAAAAAAAACTTATTAGTATGACAGAATAAGTATAAAATAGGTGCATAATGTCAAAGTTGGCTTTAATAAACATAAAAGGAACATTCGTTTCAAAATCAAACCTGATTCTCAAATACTGACTGAGTTTTAAAGGCAACAGTATAACTTCATATAAGGTTGAAGTATGTCACACAGAGGTTGCACAAATCTTTTTACACTGTGATAAACATTTAAACTACCATAATAATATTTACAGACTTCTAATATTACAGGTTCACATGCATTATGAATGATGCCTAATTTATATTTGATCCTATGAATACAGTAGGTGTGTAAACATGAAAATGTTTTTCATTTTCACAAATGTGCCTGTTTGGTCACAGATACCTGTGCTTGGCAGTCCTGTCATATTTTGAAACCTGCAGAAAGAAAAAAAAACTATGTGGATGAATGAAAATATGAGCTGATGTTTACTCCCCTGCGGGCCGTAGGAAGTGGCAGGGGGTAATACTGGGGCTTCCAGGTTCCCATGAGTACAACTGCTGAGAAAATCTAATTCAGTCAGCTGGTACGTGAAGACTCAAGGATGGCGCCCCAGTAGAAAGATGGGAGATTTAGACATGGCTTCATTTCCCTTCGAAATGACCTCTCTCTCACTCACACGCACACACAAAACTACTCATTCCCCATGTTCCCTGACACAGATGGGTCACGGCCTACTCTCCCACAGCGCTCAGAGTCAGACACTTTACTTTGTTACTATGGTTGCCAGCCACTTAAAGTCTCCTTCCCTTTATGCTCTGTCCTTATCCTCGCTAACTTGATCCTCGAGTGATAAGTGTAATAGGGCGGGAGCACCGCTGCTGTTTCTCACTGTGGAACATTTTGGCCTGTTAAACTAGTAAACCATGCACTCATGCTTTGGCACAATAACAGTACTAGTATTCATTGATTGAAAAACAGATTTCATATAATGAATAAGCTCTTAGTAGAACTTTAATAAGCTTGTTTGGGGGCATCGACTGAAAGAGCGACCCAACAGACCATAGCAGCCACTGCATTTAAAGAAGAAGGCAAAACGTTTCAATAGCTTTCTGAACTTAAGTGAGAATGAATTATCTTATGCTAGTAGAGAGGAGAAAGAGCTTGTGTTCATATTCATTTGTTTGAGCAGTACAAGTTCTGGTTCTCCTCATATAGGCCATTTATTCAGTTTACCCATAGAGGGCACTGTGTAGACACTGCCTGACAATCTAAAGAAATCAACTTTGCAAGTGTTTGCATATTAAGAGCAGCTACTACTTTTCAAACTATATATTTTGTGTTTAATAGCTCTTAATAAAGCCCTCACAGTCAAATCAATAGAATCCAATACCATACAATTCAGCAAACCACACTGACAAAAAAGGTTACATAAAATGGTAACATCTAAATTAATTGGTTTGAAGTCAAAAATATTATTTAATATCACTGAATCAACCCAAATACATGAATTTATTCCAACAAATTTAATTTTTATAGGTTAAATCAGGTAGAAATAGCTTTTAAAGTTAACAACTGCAGGTTACCAATTTGTACAGTGTACGTAACCCAATCTAATCTATACACAAATACTCTTATGTACAAGAGTAACAGTGTCATTTTATTTGACAGCACATATGTATTCAGCTGAATGATCTAGAAACCACTAAACGAAAAGTAACCCAAAATATGCATTGATCAAATTATTGTAATTGGATAACAACCAGAGTTAATGTAAATGGTAGCATCTTTTGCTTGAATTAAAGTCATGTGGTTGCATCTTTACCAACTTTGCACCATCAGAGCTGGACATTTTTTCACAATTATTTGAACTTAATCAAAGTGTGCAGAATCCTTTTAAAGTCCCTCCAGATAGGTTTGGATTAAGGTTGCGTCTTTAACAGGGTTATTCAAGGACATTAATCTTCCTGTGCTTAAACCTCAGCTTACTTTGGTGGTGTGATTTTGAACCTTGTCACCTTGAAACCAAAATTGTGAAATTTTTTACTTTTTTCTGTACCATCTGAACACCTCTTTGAGTTGTTTTATGTGTTCTTTATTAATTTACTTACTTACAAAATGTAACAGTCTGGATCTTTGGAACACTTTTAATATTGATGTCACACACACAATGATCAGTCTTTGCTCTAAAGGTCCTGTGGCTTATTGAAAGTTATATTTTTTGGGGAAAGATGAATCCATACACTCTTTAAACTTGACTGTATTCCATCTCATATTATGCTATTGGGATGTTTTATACCCATATTCCTGATTTGTGCCTTTCCACAAGTAGTTTTGAAAGCATGTTTCCGCCAAATGTGGATTCTTGCATTTCTACTGCCAAATAAAGGAATACTCAGAAATTCTGAGTAATTTTATTCAGAACATTTCTTGTTCTAATAATCACAGCTGGTCTCAGTTATATATTCACAGTTAACTGTGAATAACAGAAAACTGAACTGACCATAACCAAGGCATATTTACAGAAAATTGTTACTGTTATGTGATGATCTTGTTGACTGTCTGAATCAGACAGACAAAATGAGCAAGGAATTACTTCTGATTTTAATAGTAGACTCATATGAGGATGCAAACTCTGATTAGATTTAATTTCTACACTACACAAAAAAAAAAAATCGAATAATTGCAAAGTAACAGCGAGAAACATTGAAATAAACATAACATTGTAGTAGAAAGGCTGAAATTTTATTTTCTTGTAAAACATACTCCAGTAATCTTTGTTTTCAACTTTCAAATTAATTTTACAATGTATATTTAGATTTAAATTCAATCTTTTTCTTAGACTTTTCTCACATTTCAGTCTCCCGCTCTATTTTTTAATAAGTGATTTTTGCATCGAAAACCTCACTCCAGCCAAGGTCTGTCCCCCAGGTTTATCTGTCACCTTGTCCAACAGTCTGAGTGTATTATGTCTTTGTAAAGGGCCTGATAGTTTCTGACACAGAGCGGAGGACACACTTTGATAATTCACATCACGAGTCTCTGCAAGCATACTGCTCACAGCTGCACTCCAAATAATATGTGAAGCCGCAAAATATTGATATGTGAAATTAAGTCAGATATCCGAACTCGTTCTTTTGGGACTGGACACACCTACTCTGCTGGACTGACCCTACCCACGGCATTAACTACCCACAAACGCCGCTCCTTAATCCTAAAGGCCGGTCGGAGTTCTTTAAAACGTCTCACATGCTTTCTGTGAAAATATTTAGTCTGAGCCTCATGTCCAAGGGAGTCACAACGATAACATGAGCTGCTGCAGATCAAGACAGAGCTTGCAAACGCATTGCATAATAATGGAGAGAGTTACAGCGAGGAAGACGGGATCAGCGAGGAACTGAAGAGCGTGGATTGGGGAAGTTCCTTCGGCGGTGAAATGACATGAGCAGGGAGACGTGGTGAACTCCTGGTGCGGCGTTCCTTACAGGATTTAATTGAAGAACAACATGCAGTTTCATCTGCAGCGTAAAAGCCTCCCTAGCTTTTGCTGATGTCAGGAGCATGTTAACGTACAGGCAGAGAAACTTAATGAGCCCTGTCAGCATCAACACCCACACTAAACACACACAGGCCTGCTGGAGAAATACAAACCGATGGTCAGCATGTCCCACAGAGTCTTGAGCTCTGTCTCTGTCCTGTAACTGACTTAGGGCTGATCATGGTTCAAATTATTCCAAAAAACTGATTAGTCCATTCACATGTCTGTAATAGTCTGTCTAATCAGCTGTATAAGAGTGGTCAGCTGGCTTGCTGGAGGTCTTCAGAAAGATACTCAATTCAAGCTATGAGAACGTAGTATTCAGTATAGAGATAATAGTTGTGCTAGGAGCAACTAGCTAAAAGTAGTGACACTGCTAACTCATTTAAAGAGACAGATCACCCAAAAATCAAAATTGACATAATTTACTCATCCTAATTTCATTTCAGACCCGTGCATCTTTCTGTGTTCTGTGAAACACAAAAGAAGATATTATT